CTATGATCTCAGACTTTGAAGAACAGAGACAGGAAGTGAGTTCCAGGCAAACCAAAGCTTCAAAGCAATAATATGTCTTAAAAAAACAAAAATTCAATTGTAAAACGTTTGTCCGGTGTCAGAAAGTTGGTGGTGGGTGGGGAGGAGGGGCTGGAGAGATGTCTCAGTGGCTGAGAGAATTTGCCACTCTTACAGAAAACCCAGGTTCTGTTCCCAGCACATGGTGGCTCATAACTATAACTCCAGTTCCAGGGATCTAATGCCCTCCATGTCCCCACAAAGGTAACAGAAATGCACATGACACAAATACATACATACAGATTAAACACTCCTACACATAAAGATAAACAAATCTTTTTTAAAAGTTTCTGTTGAATGCAGTAAGCATAGAGCTTTTACAAGTTCTGTGAGGGAGAGCCAAGAAACACTGAACTGTAAACAGCTAGGTGGGACAAAGATGGCTCAGAGACCTTGTGCTTGAGTCTGGTGTCTGAAGTGAGTACAACCTTGTGGGAGATCATGCACCTTACAGTGAAATTCTATTGGGTTCCAGGTAGGTGATGGCAGGGCCTACATAGAACACTGTTCAGCTATGGGAATGAAAAAGGCATGAATTCATGTTACAACATAAGTAAACACTGACAATGTTATGGTACTTGAAAGAAACCAGACTCAGAAGAGGATGGAATATATGAACTTGTTTATACAGTGTCTAATCTAATTAAATCTACAGAAATAGAAAGTAGATCAGTGATGTCTTCTTAGGTTTGAGTGTTGAGGTTGAGATGAGTGCAGAGGGATTTGGGAGTTGGTAGGTTTCTTCATGTGTTGGAAATGTTCAATAATTAACTGTGCTGGGGTAGTTACACATGTCTGAGAATATACTGGTAGCCAGTGAATTAAACTTCATATGATGAGTTGTAAACTAGGCATAGTGGTACACTCCTAAACTCACTCTCAGCGTTAGGGAGGAGTATCACAAGTTCAAGGCCAGCCTGGGCTACTTAGTGATGCCCTATTTACAAAAGACGTGAGAAGGGATGAGGAGATGGCTCAGTGCTTGCTATGCAGGCATGAGTTTGGATCCCTAATACCCACATAAAAAAACTGAACTCCCCACATATGCCTGTAAACCCAAAGCTAGGGAGGCAAAGTCTCTGGGGCTTGCTGAACTAGTCAAATTTATGAGTTCTAGGTTCAAAATGGACCCTGTTTCAAAAACTCACAAAGCCAGGTGTGGTGTCAAATGCCTTTAATTTCATTACTCAGAGGACGTAGGCAGGCTGATCTGTGAGTCTGAGGTTAGCCTGGTCTATGTAATGAGTTCCAGGCTAGCCAGAGCTACAGAGAGAGACTGGGTAGTCTGAATGTGATTAAGCCCCCATAGGCTCATATATTTGAATGCTTGTTCCCCAGTTGGTAGACTCTTGAGAAGAACTAGGAAGTGTGGCCTTGTTGGAGGAGATGTGTCACTGGGAGGTTGTCTGCCTGCTCTTACCATGAGAATGGACTGTTATTCTTTTGCTTAAATTAGAAATGAAGAGGAGACGCAAGATGAGACATGAGACTATTAGACATATTAACCAGTTTATTATAGGCCCGACAGAGTAGGGAGACTAAGAAAGTAGAGGAACAGGGTTGATGGCTAACCGCCATGGCCGTTTGCCATAGAGAGGCAGAGCATAGGTGGGAGAAGAGAAGAGCAGAGCAGAGAGCAAAGAGAAGAGTAGAGAGAGTAAATGGGCAGGGGTCTGTCTTTTAAAGGGGTCCTCTACACTTGTGTGTAGACTTAGTTCCCATGGAACCCTGGGCTGACCAGGGTACTGCCTGAATGGATTGCGCCAGGTAACAGAGGCAGGCCAGCATAATGCCTGAACCTTTCACTAACTTCCTGAAACTGTAAGTGATCCCATGGTTTCTTTTATAAGAGTTGCCTTTGTCATGGTGTCTCTTTACAGCCATGGAACACTAAAACAGAGAACCTGTCCTAAAATAAATGAAATTGAAGGGACCAGCTCCCGGTTTTGGCAGCCAGAACAGCACACCCCACACATCTCTCAACT